GTAGTTCCCGCGTTGATGATTAGGGTCAATCCGGCACCGAGCTGGATTCCCTTCACCACTGGGCGTGGTACGAAACACGATGCCAGTTCCACTAGACCAATAATCGACAGCCCTCCAACTATCGCCCCCACGCCTATCCCAGCGGCCATAGTCTCGTGCAGGGTTAAGGGCCTTGCGATTGCCACTGCGGCTAGGACTTTCATCGGTTGAACACACATAGGAACACCGAAAAAAGCGCCTGATAAGACATTGAAAAGTCCAGAAAAGATGAGGGTGGACGTAAGGGAAATGCAACCCGCAGAGGCGAGCGCTATCGTTAGCGGAAGGAATGTCCTATCAGCTCGCTAAGGTTAGTGAATTGAGAACATGCCTAAATGTATACGAACCCAAGATCTCCCAAACACCCTGCTATCTCCTGAATAGGTTGTTTTTGTGAAAATTTGCCAGTTGTAGTGCAGCGATTTTAATAACGTAGGTCGCTCTATATCGAGATTGAAGAATGACCTGATTTTGGTCAAGGTGCTGGGCATATTGAGTGGCGATCTCTACCGAGGGACTCTATGGGCTGTCAAAGTAGGGGCGAGATTGCCAATCTCTACATGCCACCTTTATGGCGGAACCGATCCGACTTATCGACCAATAGTATGCTCCCTGTTTTATCCGCCAACAAGAGGGCATATCGTAAAGCCTTATCAGGCTTTAGCCCTGCCAGGTTCAACTGTGTTGGGAAGCCTTTCACCGGAACGTCCGGCTATACTTCCTTTTCTGTTTTGCATATCCGCGCTGTCTCTTCAAGACAAATAATCCGGTAATTCTCATTGGGGGCTGCTCAGTGCGCCAACCGGACGTTGAGATAAGAGATAGTTGGAGTTCTGAAGTCAGGGGTGTCGCTTGAAGAGGAGGTTGAAGAGATAGGAATACGGCCGATGATGACACTGCATCTGGATACCGAATAAAGACTAACATTACTCCCCACTCGAGCCCATTAGACCACCAACACGAAGTTTTCTACGTCGAATTAGGACTAATGGAACACGCGAAGCAGGAAAATGGGAGTGCCATGACGCGAATATTTGTTGTAGGTCTGGGAATGGTGGGAATAGGTGAGCGTCGTGATAGTGAATTCATTGTGGAATGGCCTGCTGAATACGATAAAGCTTTCATTGAGAAGATGTTGAACATGGATGATCAAAGACGCTTTGTTATCGAAACATGTGGAGAGGAGGCACATTTTGCGTGTGTTGACCACTGCCTCCTTTCGATTCTTGGGTATCCCACTAAGACGTTTCCAGGTACAACCGTGTCGCGCTTACTGAATACTTGTGAGTGTCTTCATAAAAGCAATAATCGTCTTTTATCCTTGCTAATACACTTGTTTGTTCTTCAGTCAACATCGCTCTATTGATAAACTGTATCTCAATCCACCAGAGTGGTATGCCAAGCAGGACCCTGAGCGCTTCATTTGTCGACAAATCCGGATTATTCATTTGGCGCGGTTTGAACGTACCGACGCCAGTATTCGTCTGCGTCAGGTTAAATGCCAGTATATCGGCCATTTCAACTAGGCTATGAATCAGCACGAAGCAATAACGTAACCCTTCGCAACATACCTCCTGGGGCAATCAAGCCGTAGGTATTTCCCTTCCAACTTGCGCACTCCCCTATCGCATATACGTCTTTGGCGCTCGTTTTGAGGTCGTCACCAACTATAATTCCTCCCTTTTCATAAGTTTCGATACCAGATACTTTCGCTAACTCGTCTCTAGGCTTGATACCTATTGCAAAAATGACCAAATTGGACTCGAGGTGGGTTCCGTCGGAAAGATCGAATCCGGTGAAGGTCTCTCCTTCTGAACGGGATTCGGTGGTGATATCCTCGACGCCCACTTTGGTCACGAACTTGACGCCCATTGCCTCTATCCGCCTCAGTACCATTTCTCCACCGTCGGCGTCTAATTGTCGA